GAATTTGGTCGAAGTTACATTTCAACCATTTTTCGACGTCTCAAAATTCACCAAAACACGACCAATTATTAACTTAGGTCGATGATAACCAATAAATGACGTCATTATCACGTGAACAGATGACGAAATTTTTAAGAAAATATGAAAATATAGTGATAATTAATAAGAAACAATTGGCCCGTTTTAATGGGCCGACAAAAAGTTTTGGAATATTTTTAAAAACAAAAATTATTATTTTTATTTAATTTACGTTATTTCGACGGAGAATCAACGTGCAATATTTTATTAAAATAATTTTAAACATTATTTGGTTTTAAACTAATTAAGATAGATTAATAATTATTGGATCAATGGATTTTTTAAAACAAATTCGCGATTTTTAAATCCTTTATCATTTCATCACAAAATAAGAAATTAAAATGTTACTGCAGTTGACAATCACAATTTTAATTTTAGTAAAATTATTTATCTACAATGTTGCCAGATGTTTTATAATTTTCTTTTTTAAAATAGTAAAATTTAAATAATAATCGATAATTGTAACATAATTTAATCCGCCGCGTAGTTTTGCTTGTTTTTATACAATTTTTGTTTTGATAATTTTATATAATTTTCTGTAAATTTGATCATTTTGTCAACCCTCTTCGATAATATTAATTTTTACACCTGGCAACCCTGTTTCTCTTTGACACTACTTACAAAGCGAGGGAACGTTTATTCCTAAAAAACAATATGGTTGATTCAAGCGTCCAACTTTTATAATCTGTGGCATTTATACATAGAACAAACCATTTATACTGATAATACTTTGGCTGTGTCAGGTAGGTCAATTTTTGTTTGTTTATTAATGTTTTAATTACTCAGTATATTCCGTAACGAAGTCATAACACCTAAATGAAGTACCTACATAAGCTCCTAAAATATTGACCTGTCATCTGTCTTAAAATTTAATGTGTTTGATTTTATAATAAATGTTTTGAGCAACTTAAAACATGTTTTATTAATTATTAAACCAAAAGCTCTTTATGCACTAGTAAAAATAATTATTTATTCTTATATCCGATATTTTAATGCCAGACATATGTATGTGTTTCTTCAAAGATTAACTAACAAATTTTTTTTGATATTCTACTTTTTTATATACATTTATTTTGATTATTAATTATTTACTAAATATATATCTACTATAGTAGTATATATATACTATATATAGTAGGGTTTACCTATTTATTTCTTAAAATTTAAAAGTACAACTAAAATTTTTTTGTTTTTTTTTTTAATTTTGACAAAATCACATTTCGCATTGAAATATCTGATATCAGTATCGGTAATTATTTTTATCAGTGTATGACCTAATCATATATTATTCAAGAAATATTACGTGATTATTTACGTCAAATTACGTAAATAATTACGTAATATTACGTGATTTTACACGTGAAATCGCTGTGACATATTGTCGTCAATTTTACGACGATAAGACGTGTCTAAGTTGGTGACTTCGACGTCACCGTAGACGTAAATTAAACGTGATATTCACGTCACTGTGTTGCCTGGGATTGAGTGTTCGTTTATATTCTAAGTGTCAAATGTATATTATTGATCTCGTTTGGGTTAAAATTAACGTTGTTTTGTTGGGGCCGTTACTGGGTTTTATGCCTACTCAGCTTTGGTGTATCACCGCGATAGTTCGAATGGGAAGTTTTGTTTTTTTGTTGTTTGTCTTTTTTCTTTATTAACAAATCATAAAAATATTTTTTAAATTACCAAAAAATATATTTTTATTTGTTTGGTGTGAAACCTTATGTGATTTGTCCTATTCTCATTTATAAATAATTATTTATCATTTATAATTATGATTAATTAGGTATTAATTATGAAAAACATCATATATGTTCACCAAACAGCGAATTTTAAAAACGGAATAGCCATTTAAACACCGATGATGTTTATAAACATGGATGTTTAAGAAATTCTTTGAGTGCATGCGTCTATAGACGAAATAATTGAAAGGGAATAGGCACATATGTTACGAAACATATGTAGTTCATGAACATACATGTTTAGCGAAAAATAATAGGTCTCCTAGTATTATTTTACAAGAAAGGAACTTTATTTTAACGATTGTATGACATTAGACAACTGTCAACTAACTTAAAACTAACTTTAGACCGTGACTAAAGGTGGATTCATGCAAGCATGTCTTAAATTAACTTAACTTAACTTTGTACCAATCTTGTACTAATCATTATCCCATGAAAATGAACCGTTCATATATGTACTATTATCTTAAGGATTTTACATGCGAATTACGTTTAGCGACCAAAACCAAAAATGTTATTATTACTGCTTATCAGCGTTATTTGTTTGGCGCCAATTCGCGTAAAATTTGTTAAACAGTTTGTTTAAATTTTTAACCCGTAAGTAGGTAAGGATTTTACATGCGAATTACGTTTAGTGACCAAAACCAAAAATGTTATTATTACTGCCCTTGTGGAAATTTTCCTCTGAGAAAGTCTTACTTTCTCTGAAAAAGTCTGAATAATACTTATTAAGTCGGAAAAAGTGAGAATAAGACTTATTAAGTCGGAAAAAGTCTGAATAAGTCTTATTAAGTCAGACTAATAGCAAGATTTGGGAGTCTTCTGGAAGAGTTAATAAGACTTTTTAAGACTTTTAGTAGAGAAATGGTAGGTACCTACGGAGATAAAAATAAATATCCGAAATAATTCATAGAGGTTGTATTTGGTTATCGTAAAATAAAACACATAGAAAAGTATTTATTAACATTTTTGCTGTTGTTATAAGCCAAGTTTATTGCATAATTACCTATATAATAACATAGGTAAGATGTAATAATTAGGTATAACAATTATAATTTTATACATACGATGCGCTTGACATGCATGCTTCCACCATAGAAAAAGGAGTTGCCACTGTACGTTTTATTTTAATAGTTTCTTTTGATACACGCAAATATTTACCTATCTAAACATTGTTACAAACAATAGACGTAAGACGTAATATCGAGAGACCAGCTTAGCTAGCTGACCAATTAGAGCACAGCTGACCTGTCAGTTTGCAAGTATTTTACTCGAAAATCGGGTATTTTCATAATATTTGCGGGTGATTTGCAAATTTCTATCAAAATAATAATAAAATAAATTTTTAGTAAATAATATTGTATATTTACTAAATATGCACAATTATTTTATTCTATCTTGTTACATTTTTATTATTATTTTAGTATTTTGTAATTTATGGTCAGGAACTTTTATGGCAACACTGTACGTAAACACGAAGATCAACCATATTTGTCTTATGAGTCTATCGAAAATATCATGTCTATAGACTTAATATCAATTAATATTAACTCCTTTTTCTATGTTGGAAACAATGAAAGCATGTTAAGCGCATCGTATGTATAAAATTATAATTGTTATAATTATTACACCTTACCTATGTTAGTATATAGGTAATTATGCAATAAACTTGGCTTATAACAACAGCAAAAATGTTAATAAATACTTGTCTATGTGTTTTATTTTACGATAACCAAATACAACCTCTATGAATTATTTCGGATATTTATTTTTATCGCCATAGGTACCTACCATTTCTCTACTAAAAGTCTTATTAAGTCTTAAAAAGTCTTATTAACTCTTCCAGAAGACTCCCAAATCTTGCTATTAGTCTGACTTAATAAGACTTATTCAGACTTTTTCCGACTTAATAAGTCTTATTCTGACTTTTTCCGACTTAATAAGTATTATTCAGACTTTTTCAGAGAAAGTAAGACTTTCTCAGAGAAAAATTTCCACAAGGGTGCTTATCAGCATTATTTGTTTGGCGCCAATTCGCGTAAAATTTGTTAAACAAATTGTTTAAATTTTTAACCCCTAAGTAGGTATTCTCATGGCGATTACATATAAAAATATAAAACAAACCCACAAAATACTAAATTTTCAGAAATGTAAAAACAATGAAAGTAGCTACATTAGACTATGAAGTTGGCTACATTACCAGTACATGCGCATTTGCCTATTTTTATTAAGAACTTAGGACATAAGGATCTTAAAGATAAAAGTAAACCAACTTTTCTTAGGATAAGGATTCAAATTAAGTTAGGTTAAGACGAATTTAAATTGCATGAACGGTTCCGCTCATTATTACAGTTTTATCTCTTTAAGATAAGGACAAATACTAAGTTAGTATTAAGACATGCTTGCATAAATCCACGGTAAAAACCTGTTGCTAACTTCAGCCCAAGACTAAAGCGCCATAAAGCCACAACTTGTCAATGTGTATTTAAAAGGTCACTTAGGGTCATGGAAACATGTACGATAATAGGCGTTTTAAAGGTGGTAGTAGAATAAAGACCTTACAACTATCATGACAGTAATATCCGGCAACACACTTTATATCTTTTTATACACTCACATTGAAATTGAATTCCTGGAATTTGGTCCAGGTATTTCAACAATTTTCATAGCTCTTTATATACAAGGCCCATTTTCAAGCCAACTTATTTAGTAATTGCTTGACAAGCTGGAGTCTTCAAATAAATTATACATAGTTCTTGAAACTTAAAGCATGAAATATATCCCTGGAAAGTGTGTGATAGATAATAAAATAGATATGAAATCCAATGAATCAAAAAACCCTTGTATAATACAAGTTGTATTAGAAAAATGTATATTAAATTATTAAAAACTGTTAAATTATTTTTATAGATATAATTGTTGAAATGTACAGAGGATTGGTCCGAAAATCGCGGATTTAAACAAAACATTTTTAAATTTTAAACATGCAAGTATGAAAAATTTAGTTGCGCTGCCAAACATTTTCTTGATAAAATTCCTATTGATGTTATGAAAAAACGAGAAAAAACTGAGCCCAAATAAATACTTTTGAACTGGGCCCATTGCAAACATGTATAAATAAACAACAAATTGTCGACATGGTTTATGAAAGATTTTATATGAAACTTTGTTACTTACTTCTTCTTGTTCACTTCTTAACTCTCCATCAAGATGTTGCTGTCTCATTTTGGAGAAATCTGGGGCCATTGGATCCAAAGCTTCTGAAGAAGTATCATAAAATCCAATGGCCGGGCGTTTTTCAAAGGGTATCTCTGCATTATAATCCACACCTCTTTTCTTTTTTCTTCGAGAATTGACCTCGATACCGGCCGCCCTTAATTCTCTACGTTTCTGCAGTGCTGCCAACCTTCTGGCTTCCTCAAGTTGCTTTTCTCTGGCCTTTCTTTTCGCTTTTTTACCTTGAGTGTTGGCTAACCTGGCTCTAGCTTCAGACAACATCTCAAGTTCATCTTCGTCCATGTCTTTGGGATCAGGTCTGGCAGGTTTGGTTTCTGGATTTGGATCAATTTCACCAGGTTTAAGTTTCCTGGGATCGTCAGCTCCATCTTCACCCTCTTCCTTTTTTTGAGCTTGATCACTATAAATCACAAAATTAAACTTAAGTCAAAGAATACAAGTAAAGTTCAGTTAAAATAAATGAGAAAAAACAAAAAAATTGCATTCAATACAATACATAATCCAGTTCGCTGAAGACACTGGCCCAACAGAACATAGAAAAACCCTATACAAGATGATAAATAATCTACAGAAAATAACCACCCATACGCTTTTATGGGTACACCATTGGATATTACGGCCAAATACCCACAAAACACAAATACTGATTTATCATCATAATTTCAAGGATACTTCACCAACAATTAGAGTAGATGGTCACGAAATCAGTACCAAAACAACCACCAAATACCTCGGGTTCCGACTAGACAATAAACTTAACCTTAAGGACCAATACCAGTGAAAACAAAAACCATGGAATATTTACTTTATATTTTTGCATTAATGTTATAATGTATCAAAATTGTGATATAGGTATTATAAATTATTGTAAAAAATAAGCAAAAAGACCACGGCCAAACAAACAAACCAAAATTAAATTATTAAAAAAATTCTGCGTGTATTTATCTCAATCTAGTAACTATAACTGTAACTAAAGTAACTATAACTCTAACTATAGTTAGTAATTTTGAGTAACTACACAGGGACTATTATTTAATGAAACACGGAAAACACGCCCACTTCCACCAAGTCTACTAAACATGACCCCATCTATTTTTGTTGTCTAATTTAAACACCCTTGTATTTCTATTTTAGAATTTTGGATAGAAAGCAAAAAATAATAGTATCTAATAATCTAAATACTTGTTTAAGTTAACTGTATCTGTAACTAGTTACAACAGTAAAACATGAATCTGTATCTATATCTAGTTACAAGGTTTGGTTAGTAACTGTAACTAGATTCTACAAATGATGTAACTGTTACAACACATGATGTGTTAAAAACATGTATATTCTACTTAATATTGGAAATATTAATATTATTATACTGTTATATACAATGTTATAAATTATAATAATTATTTTTAAATCTTTCTTTTTGTTCAAAAATAAGGGTATTTTTAATGAAATACCTTTACTTATTTTAATAAAATTAAAAAGGACAACTGGACATATGTTTGCCATGTAAAGGCATTGTTTTAAACAAAGGGATACAAGTGACATTTAAAAAAATAATGGTGGTAATTAAGTACAGGAATAGATAGTAAAAGGTACATTTAATTTGGTATCCAATGGTTATAATTTAATTCTATGCTTGCAAAACCTTTAAAACAAAGTTATAAAAGAACAAACAATTTTGACTTCAAATTAAAAGAGGGTTTTAACTTTGAACATGATTATCTCACAACTAGACAAAATATATTTGTACTACTTGGCTTCTAGTGCCCTCATATTAAATTTGGACTAAAATAATTTCAATATGTCTGTACCAACTTTCAGGGCAGCTCTTTAGTGTAAATTAAGTTTTGATGATTTGTTTTTGTTTAGTTTTTTAGCTATAGACATTTTGACTACTTTTACACAATGTCTTAGATAACAATATCAGCTGCCCAGTGTACTAATATCATTTTGACAAAAATCAAGTTATTTAGTTTTTTTTAATGGTGCGGATTCGATGGCTTATTAAGTTAATTTAAATTTAAAAAAACACCAATAACTTAACTGTCTGCAACACGATGTTAAAATGTAACATTTAACTTAATAGGTAATAGGTAATAGGTAATAGGTATATCATAAGACATTATAAAATGTTTAAATTATAAATTTACTTAATGAAATGTCTTCAATATTAACTGTTTTTAATATTCAGTTACTAATAGCTTAATCGTGTGTTTTAAAAATCTGATATATTAACCCAAAAAACGTAACCACGGCCCCTTGTCTCCCGCCGCCTTTTTTGACATACAATCCATATTTGTATGTAGATTACCTTAATTGATCTTTGCAAAATATTTTTTAGTTATAGGACTTATTTATATTAGTATTAGTATTAGTATAAGTAAAATGTGACACCGCTAAATGGCCGGTCGTGGTATACGCTAAAGAAGTATCGCTAGTAGCGCCACCATTCGGCTGTTATCATCGTAACAAAAGTACTATTAATAATCAGCTGCCAAACGCTTATGTTACAAACTAGTGTTTTTGAGAATAAAGCCGGAAAATGTTAAAATATATCGAAAAAAAACCGTGGCTCGATTTGTTGTGTTGTTGGTTATATTTCGAGAGGAAATCCTGGGTTGCGTTTGTACCGGTTTTCCAATAAACAGTGTTAATCTGAATGAAGAAATAAATTGCATACAGTAAACATAAATTGTACCTATTAGATACAATAAATACACATTTTAGTAGTGATTAACGTGAAAACCGAATTTTATCCTTTGGCAAAACATGAAAATGCAACGATTTAGTTCTTGAATTTTATGTACTATTAAAAACACAATAATTCACTATGATCCCTTAGATAAAATGCACACAACAACATAACTATATAAGCATTTAAGCGTTGAGTTTCTTAATCAATGATATAAGGAATAATCAATCGAAATCGAGTAGGTACTAAAAAAGTTTTTAAATTTTTTCCTTACAACGTAAAACACAAATAACGTGCGCGATTTAGCTGTGCAATTAAACAAAATTTGTCGAGTAAGACTTCTGCCTTCCTATTTTTTGTGAAAAAACTACCTATTTATTTAAAAATGATGTATAATGTGTGCTTTAAATGTATTGTTGACAATTCTTAAATTCACGCAATGCTATCGAAGTTCACCAGATGGCGCGCGCGTTGCGAAAACCCGATACTTCTTTAGCGTTCAAAATATGGGTAGAAAATCAGTGACAAGTGTTTCCCTTATTTATTAAGAGCGGTAAGTACCTACTTCTAATTGTAAATATTAATTTAATAAATTTAGTTTAAGCATGATATTTTAATGCGTACTTTTTTAATAAATAAAACCGGTCCCTAATGATATTGTTTTTAATTATATCCCTGACTAAATAAACATTTTAGATTTGTACAATGACATATACAATACATAACCCAAAATTTTTGTCTTAATCCCATTATTTGTGTCTAAACGCAACAACGCCCACTGGGAGGAATTTCAAAAATAACGGATAAAACCTTATTTTGTGAAAATCAACATAGCTAATTTTAAATTGCGAGTTATAAAAAAAGAAAGTCCAGAGATTATGATTTGAAAAAAAAAATTTTTTGTTATGATGAAATGACTTTCTAAATCGCAAATCAATATGTTATTATTCTTTTTATAGTACGACGCGTCTTGACGTCGCACTATGGTTTATCGGCGGCAAAAATACATTTTTTTTAACTTTTAATTTTTGGAACTTTTATGGCGACAATCTGTTAAAAACATCTCAAACTAATATATTTCGGTAAAAAAATTTTTTTTAATAATCCTGTTTTGATTTTTTGGCACCTTAAAGTAGAATGTTTTAAAACAGTAAAATTGGCTAAAAATTACGCACACATTTAATAAACCATATTTTTAAATCGGACAAAAAAATGTATTTTTATTTTTTATATACAGTGCTTGCAAATCCAAGTCCGACCGGGTTGGGAAGGACGGTTTTTCAATACCCGCGTGAAAAGAACAAGGATAGAACGCCAAACAGAATTTGATTGGTCAAAGCCGGCAGGCGTGCGGATTGTAAGCGAGGTCAACTCTGGCATTGCATTTAGTACTTAGCGAACTGCGTGTGGGTGTAGATGCACATTTATAATTTTCTTTTTAAATATTTTCATCCCCGATTCCTTTTTTTCTTGAGAACTAGGGCAACAACAAAAAATAGTATTCTTAATAAAAAAGATTTTTTAAATAAACAATAATTCTGAATAAAAATATAATATAATAAAAATAAAATTCTAAAAATAAATAATCCTAGAAAACGTACAGCTTCGACTTGAGGTAGGTACCCCACAAAAAAATCACACGGCGCCTAGTCCGGTGATCTAGCTGGCCAGAGAATTCCTCCTCGACCCATAATAAGACGAGGTCCAAAAGTGTCGGAAAGGAATTCCCGAACAGCCATCGTATTATGTGCGGGGCAACCGTCCTGCTGAACCATACGTTTTCGATGTTTATTCCGCCTAAATTTTAAAGCGCGGGAACTGTTTGGTTTCTTAGGAGATTTAAATATCTAGCGCCATTTCAATGATTTAGGAATCCGCATAACTAATTTGTTGGGGCCCCCAACAAATTAGTTATGCGGATTCCTAAATCATTCCCCCAACTTGGGGGATATTAGTCCAGAAGTCCTAGCTAATGTGCGTGGGAATTTTTATAATAGGATTGGCTATTGTTTGGCTTCCTATGGGGGCTTGTTCGAACATTTAATTTAAATTTGGAGTTTATTTATTTTTAGAGATTTATGTTTATTCAGAATTATTGTTTATTTAAAAAATCTTTTTTATTAAGAATAATATTTTTTGTTATGCCCTAGTTCTCAAGAAAAAAAATTAAAAATTTTTATTTTTAGGATTCGGGGATGAAAATATTTAAAAAGAAAATTAAAATGTGCATCTACACCCAATCAAATTCTGTTTGGCGTTTCATCCTTGTTCTTTTCACGCGGGTATTGAACAACCGTCCTTCCCAACCTGGTCGGACTTGGATTTGCAAGCACTGTATGTTTAAAGCACACCTTAATCTATAAAAATTCCCATTTTATTTGAAAATTATTTAAAAATTAAAAGTTATAACCTTTAAAAAAATCATATAGGCGATTCACCGGGTGATCTCTACGTGAGGTTGTTCAGTAAACTTTACTTTATATGGTTTAGTGGTTGATATCACATCAGTGTTTAAATAACTTTAAAATTAAAATTGAAGAATGGTTCAAAAACGAAATTATAATTGAATTTAATGAAGATTTATCACAACCAGGTCCATCAGGTGTAGGGAGACCAAAGAAGCATTTTTTGGATTGTGCTGAACGTTCTAAAAGGCATAAGGTTAAACTTTTACGAGAAACCTTTGAATCAGACCTTTTATCTGCAGCTGC